ATGTTTTTGAAAAATTTACAATAGATTGATAATATTATAACACAATTTGCATTAACATCTATAAGGTTATCCAAATTATTAATAAAATAAGTAATGTATCTTTTTCACAGCGAATATATACGCTTTTAAAAAATGTAATAATTTCATTTTATAATTTCAATGCAAAATATACTATAATTCATTTTTTTTCAATATTTTATATAATAACTCTATTTACAATACATGTTTTTAATTAATTAAAAGGTAATATAGGTATGTGGAATCAAGCTAAGTATACCTCTTTAAAATTACTCTTCTTATATTTTTTACAATATTTTAGATCTTTTTTATAGAAATATTAATATGTTATCTCATTTAATTCACTTATATATATTTTATGAAAATAAAGTGAATATCAACCAAATTATGAAAAGATTGCATTATTTAAATATAAGTTGATTATCACCTACAAATTTTTTAAATTTTTTTTCCATAAATAGGCTTGAAAGATTGTAAATAGAATTATATTGTAAGGTTATAAATGGTGGCTTATTATAAGATTTAATAAATAAAATCACTAAAACATCGTAGGTCTGTAAATTTCGAGCCGAAAACCGCGGGATTTTTTTTAGGTGGGTATGGGTAGATTTTGGAGGGGGTTAGCTTCCATCAAATTTTCTGCCATGTAGACGCTGTAGGCATGTAAAGGTAATCAATTTTCTCAATAGAAAATAGATGATTCATTTAGGCGTGTAGGAAGTAGGGGGGGGGGGGGAAGGCTCCATATCAAAATGCTATAAATTATTTTGAAGAAATATAAAAGTTTTCACTTGTGAATTGCAAAGTATTATATTTTAAATATGTCATATTCTATCAATGACATTAATACTATAGACTGCCGATTAATGTATTTGAAGTGGCAAAAATTGAATTGAGTAGCGGCCATTTTGTGTTTGGATCTATAACGTAAGAAACATATGATTATTTTATAAATTTCAGGTTTATTTTTATTATAGAATTAATCCATCCCAAATGGCGAAGATTTTCCGGTTCATTTTATGGAAGAATATGACTTAACAAATGAAATGGAATTTTGATGTATATGGATTCAAATATTCTTAACTCACTCTTTATCAAGAATATGGTTATTCAAGACTCAAAAACAGATAAGATTTATATTTCTTTATAATAATAATTACTAAATTACTATTACAATATCGGAAAGGGTAAGTTCCACTCATTTAGTTAAACTACAACTGGGTACAAGGTTTGTTGGTATCCCTGAGAAAAAAAATCGGCATAATTTTATGAAGGGTGGGCCTTAATAAAATTCACGTTCGCTCATTTTGGGCAGGTCTATAACCAACGTGCTAGATAAGATAAGATGAATAAAAAACATTTTATAAACGCGAAAGGCTTGGTAATACGAAAGGCTAAAAAATAATATTGAAAATAAAAATAACAAAGAAAATGATTAATGAGATATTTGATTGATTTATTGCTTTTTTTAGAGAAAAAATATTATATAATAACATTTACATTATAATATATTAAAAATATGGAAATTTTAAGATCTTTTCAATTTTTTTAATAATTCTTTGAAATAATTTGCGGTTTTTAAAAATAAATTATATTATATTAATTTAAAAATTAATATTTTTAATTAAATTAATATTTGGTTATGATTTTATAAATTAAGTAAGTATACATATATTGTAATTACTTGACAAAAGAAGTATATGAGAAATATAAATTTTTTAGGTATTTTTTATTTGAGAAAGTATTTAAGAGGGGAAAGGCTAACATCTTAAACGTAATTTTGAATATAATTATATCACTGAACTCAGAATTTAATTCTCTATCCAAAACAGCTTAGATGTATTTTTTTACGTTTCCGGTTCACAAAATAAATTTTTTGTCGCGAAAGACATTTATAGGGGAAAGGCTAACATCTTATACGTAATTTTGAATATAATTATATCATTGAACTCAGAATTTAATTCTCTATCCAAAACCGCTTAGATGTATTTTTTTACGTAACCGGTTCATAAAATAAATCTTTTGTCGCGAAAGACATTTATAGGGGAAGGGCTAACATTTTAAACGTAATTTTGAATATAATTATATCATTGAACTCAGAATATAATTCTCTATCCAAAACCGCTTAGATGTATTTTTTTACGTTTCCGGTTCACAAAATAAATTTTTTGTCACAAAAGACTTTTAACGGCGAAAGGCTAACATCTTAAAAGTAATTTTGAATATATTTATAGCATTGAACTCAGAATTTAATTCTCTATCCAAAACCACTTAGATATATTTTTTTACGTTTCCGGTTCACAAAATAAAATTTTTGTCGCGAAAGACTTTTATAGGGGAAAGGCTAACATCTTAAGAGTAATTTTGAATATATTTATATCATTGAACTCAGAAATTAATTCTCTATCCAAAACCGCTTAGATGTATTTTTTTACGTTTCCGGTTCACAAAAAATTTAAGTTTCCATCATTATTTTTTGAGTTATGATGATTTCTCAGTTAGTCAAAAATATTTAGATTTTTGGGATTTTAAAAATGTTATATTTATTGACTCATTTTGTGTAAACATACTCATATAAACATAAAATGAAAAAAAAATTAAGTTTCCGTCATTATTTTTTGAGTTATGATGTCAATTCTCAGTTTAGTCAAAAATATTTTGATTTTTTAGATTTTAAAAATATTTTATTTTTTTGACTCATTTTGTGTAAACTTCTCATATAAACATAAAATGAAAAAAAATTTAAGTTTCCATAATTATTTTTTGAGTTACGATGTCAATTCTCAGTTTAGTCAAAAATATTTAGATTTTTGGGATTATAAAAATGTTATATTTTTTGACTCATTTTGTGTAAACATACTCATATAAACATAAAATGAAAAAAAAATTAAGTTTCCGTCATTATTTTTTGAGTTATGATGTCAATTCTCAGTTTAGTCAAAAATATTTTGATTTTTTGGATTTTAAAAATATTTTATTTTTTTGACTCATTTTGCGTAAACTGACTCATATAAACATAAAATGAAAAAAAATTTAAGTTTCCATCATTATTTTTTAAGTTATGATGTCAATTCTCAGTTTAGTCAAAAATATTTAGATTTTTGGGATTTGATGGACATTCTTCTTTTTCTAAATAAATCTCGATTTATAGATTATATTTATTTTTTGTTACTAATATGGATTATGAAATTAGAGAAATAATAGAATGAATTCAAAAAAGTGTAATTATAGCAATAGTTATGAAAAATTTAAAAACACCGTGAATTTTCGGGCGTGAATCAAAATTTTGCTTGTAGTGAGCGGGCGGACCGGGTCAAAAACTTTTTAATGGTAAGCGTGAAAGGGCGTAAATTTTTTTTATACCCACCGTGAGCGGACGGGTCGTGAATAAAAAATTAGGCCCGCGCCCACCTCTAGGTGGGAGGATATATATTGAATTTGTGCGGTTCTGCCCATATACCATTTAAAAAGCACTTTAATGTAAAAATTCACATAAATCCAAAATAATAATTCATATTATAAAGGTGTTTGTTAGAAGATATTTACAACATTTTAAAAATAAAAGGGCAAGCTAAAAAAAATAATTAAAATTTAATAATAATTAAAAATATTTATTTATCTGAAATACTCTGGATTTCTAAAATATATTAAGGTTCAGGCTCCAATCCAAATGAGAGATATTAATACTTATTGGGCTCAAACAGGGGCGGTCTGGAAGCCTAGTAGGGAAATCTCCAAAGGATCACGAGATTTTGGAAATTTTGGGGCCTCAATAAATAATTTTTTTTTAAATAATTGGCATAAAATCTAAATATATTTTAATTCAATTTTTTTTTTAAATATTATAAATTTAAATAATAATAATTTAATTATCTGGTGGAATTATAAGTACTATAAAAAATTTATTCATTCATTTAAAAATAAAACCATTTATTGTCTTGAATAGCAGTAGGTATTAAAATTAATTTATGCAATATTTATAGTTTATATATAGAAAACACAAAATTATTTTTATAATATAAACAATTATTAAAATGGGACCAAAAAAATATTAAACAACTCAAGCAAAACCAAGCCCCATTATAATAATTATATTAATATAAAATATATATGTTTATGAATGATTTATATAAAATAAGTTAGATATTTAATTTTTTTAAAAATGAAGTTCCTTTCATATTCATTTTTAGTGGCGTAGCCAGGATTTTATCATGAAGGGGGGTGGGTTTAAATTTTGCCCTCCAAACCTTACATTTTTTTTGAACACTTAATTGCTTATATTTTTGGATTTGTTAAAATTGTTTTATATTTTCATATAACAAAATTTTAGGGTATTTTATTTTATATTTTACATTCCTTTATTTAATCATGTATATATTTTTATTAATTAAAATATTTTCAAAATGTTGATATTTTATATAATACAGATTTTAATATTAAAAATTATAATGTATAAAGACTCTAAAAAAAAGTAGGAGACCGGGGTTATGGCGAACCCAAAAAGTCAAACCTTAATAAAATTAAAAGTACTTTATCATTTTTAATAAAAATATCTCATTTTGTTCAGCTCTATTAGTTTTATGGTAGGTTTAAATAACAAAAATACATATCTAGTACTTTTTTCATAATTTTAATCTTTCTGGAATTTTTTTTTGGGAACGAGTGAACCCTACCCGGGACGAACGAGCCTTTGCTCGGGGTTATTATAAGCTCTGCTTAATTTTCTACATAAAAGTTATATATTTTTTTATTAGAACATATTTATTGATTTAAAGCATAAAACTAATATATAAAATTATTTCTAAACAAAAAATGGGAACATTATTCACAATCTTTGCAAATAAAAAAGGGATTGAAATTGCAACAACTTCCATGTGATCAATAACCACATTTACGACATTGAAACCAGTCTTGATTGTTATGATGCTTGTAATAATTTTTTTTGCACACCAAACAATTGTTTTTCTTATTAATACCATTTTTTGATTTTTTTCTTTTATTTGCTCTCTCCATGGCTTTTTTTTTATATGGTGAAGAAGTTAAAATAGCAGAATATTGTTTATTTTTTCCAGACTTTTTATAAAATGTTGGGCATGGAAAAATTGATTCTGGGTCAAAATTTTTAGAGGTTGTTGGCTCATTTGAATAAGAATGTATGATTTCAGACTCATCTTGTCTAATTCTCAATGAAATATCATTACTATCATTATTCTCAATATTAAAATTGTTATTATTATCAATAGTTTCCTCATAATTTAAGGTATTGGGTATATCATTTACTAATGTATTATAACTTTCATCATTAAAAATTATAGGATTAAATGGCCAAATTCCACATGATTTAAAACCATTTTGAACTATAGCTGGAGCACATGCTTTAGATAAAATTTCCTTGACTATACCTGGTATATATATCATAGATTGTAAAATGTTTACCAGAATTATTTCTCATCCATGAGTCAACTGAAGAGTTATAATATCTCTTTAATGGGCCAAGCACTGTTTTATCCAAAGGTTGTAGTTTATGGGTACAATGTGGTGGGAGAGTTAATAATATTATCCCTTCTTCCAAACAAAAGTCAATAGCTTTTATGGATTGGTGAGAAATATGATTATCCAATATAATAAGGACCTTTCTATCTTTTGCATGTTTAGCATATTTGGCAAAATGATTTAAGAAGATTAAAAAGTCATCCTCTAACATCCAGCCTGAACCATTTGATATACCAATAGCACCAAGTGGTCCATCTCTTAAAAAATGATCATAATATTTTTTCCTAGGATATATAAACATTGGTGGTATCAAGTTGCCCAGTGCATTGACTGCAATTGCTAAAGTCATAAGGGTTCCCCTCTCACCTGATGTGATAGCTCCAACTTGTTTTTGGCCTTTCATGGCTAAAACTTTAGCAGGCTTCTGAACAGTTGTTAAACCTATGATAATATTTTCATATAATAGCATAGTAATTTTATATTCATTAAAATTAAATTCGAATTTTATAGGACAACATATAAATGTCAAGATTATAATCACAATACTGAGTGATATATTACTATCCTACTTAACAAAATATTAATGAATCTTAGATTAAAAAGTAGGGTTTTAATATTATATATAATTATATTTGTATATAAATTCATTAATTTTATGTCTAATTCTGACATTTTAATAAATTTTCATTTCTTATATGCCTTACATAAATCAATATTTAACCTGTTTCATCCATATTGAAGATCTCATTTGCAGTAAGTCTTGTAGTATCCAAAATATTTTTAAGATTATCAAAAAAATTTTCTACATTATCCTTATTAAAATTAGTAGCCCTTGCAAGGCTGGTTGCTTCAGGGCTCCTTAGTGATATAGAGGGATTTCTTTTAAGAAATGCTGCTAACCAATCTTCACCAGCAGATTTGTTATTTTGCCAAGAATTTGGTACTTTTAGATTATATTTACATGAAAGTTGATAAGCTAATTTTCTGGCCTTTATTAAAATAAATTATTAACAATAACATTTATTGAAAAATTTACTTTTTTAGGACAAAGCCCATTATACATATTTGCTGCTTTGATAAAATACTTTGAAAGTATTGCCTCTTGTTCAATATTAAAAATCTGTCTTGTATTGGATATAACAAAATTTTGTTTACTCTTGAATCTTGAGTTATATCTCTTAACTGTGGTATAACTAAGATTTGTAATGCTCATAATATTGATTAATGATTTATTTTGGGAAAATATCATCATCAATTCTTCCTGAGAAAATTTTTTGGTTCTGGGTTTGTAATTTCTAACCATGTTAAAATTTTTAATAAAATGGAGAAAAAGGTTCGACACCTCATAAAAATAGCCCCAATGCCACCATTTTGATTAAGATCATATTTTAAAGTATTTATAATATCAATTTTTTTCTGGAAAATTGATATTCTATAAAATAGAATTTTTTCTTTTATATAAGATAATTTTTGGGTGGTAAAAATGTCTATTTATCTTTATTTTTGAAAATTAGTAAAGTTTTAAAAAGTTACTTTTGCAGGTACAAATCAGATAATGCTTTATAAAAATTCTTCAAGCTGCCCGATATAAATAAAAATTATTGCCGCATATGCATTATATAATTATATAGTTTTGGTAAAAAAAATTATCCCTTAGAGTTTAATACTCTAGAAAATAAAGCCACGTCTCGCTAGGGCTGGGAACCAATAGTAAAAACCCAATATTAACAAAATATTGTATTGGTATTGGTATTGGGTCTAAAATATTGGTATTGGTTTAAACAATATTTTCTATTTCTTGTATTGGTATTGGTTTATATTGGTAACTATTGGTTTATATTGGTATTGGTTTAAATTCAAATTACTAATTAAAAGAATAGAAATAGTGATTATAAAACCCTTAATTTCTAATTTTAAATAAACATGGGAAAAAAAATCATGATACCATAAAATCAGGGCTAAGAACCAACTCAAAATTTTACTGAATTCAAATTCTTTTTTTAAACTAGGAATTTATTAGGTGATGTGAATATAAAAAATTTTGATTTAACCATGCATTTTTTGTATCAACAATAATAAACGTATTGATTTTGAACAATTTTATTTATCACAAAGAACATAGCAAAATAAGTAAACTAAAAATGTAACATAACTGTCTATTTATACAAAATATAATGCAAAAGAATGATATAATTTTAATATAAGAAGAGGAAATAATTTTATGTGTTTAAGAAGAATCTTGCATTCACATCCAAATTTTTAGGCACAGGCAAGCTTGTATAGTATGCTCATCTAGTGAACAACGTTGGTCTGTTATAACATACCGATCTTCTGAAAAAGCCCTTTCAGAGCTAGATGAGGTGGCCGGAATTGCTAGATAATCTCTGGCAATTTTTGATAATACTGGATATCTATTTTTATTTAATTTCCACCAATCTAATGGATTTGTATCATTGGAAATTGTGGCTTCATCTACGTATTTACTTATTTCTAAGTTGTTATTATTATGAGGTTTCACCTGATAAATTTTGTCATAAAAGGATAATTTTTTGTTATTTTGTGCTTCATTTGTAAGTTCCTCTGAATTGTTATTATTTATTTAAAAATATTGTATTCATTAGTAAGATATCCAATAAGAGTTTCCATATTATTATGCTTTAATAAATGACTTGATAGTTTAAATCTTGGGTCAATCATTGTTGAAATAATAAAGAGGTGTGTATTATAATTATAGTATTTATTAAGTTTTGTTAAGGCAGCTAAAGAAGCTGTCTTTAAAATAGCATTATGATTATTATTATAACTCTCCACATGCTCAAAAATACTGGAATATAAAGGAATAATTGTTGAAATTGTTGGAGTATTAGCACATGAGGCCATCTCTGTAGCAAAATTAAATGGTTCCAGAAATTCTCGGTATATTTCTATATTATTCCAGGCTAAGGCACTAATATAATTTTCTTGATTGGTATTTTGTAAATGATTGGTATATGTTGTCAAATAGGGTTTGAGCAATATTGCTCTTTCAAGCATTTGGTATACTGAATTCCAACGTGTTGGTATATCCAAAATTGGGTGAGGAAATTTTAAGTGTGGATTTTTTTCAAGATATATTTTTTCGAGTTTATTAAATTTAGATATAGAAAGTTTAAAAATTTTTTAAAAATTTCTTTTTTTTTTAAAGTTGTATTTAAGGGTTCCAATGCAGCCATGACAGCCAAATGTATAATATGACAAAAGCATTTGCACACATTATCAAAATTATCTTTTTGTTTTAAAATTTTTAGAAATGCTAAATTATTACTTGCATTGTCTAATGTAATGCAAAAAAAATCAATTTCAAATTTTACTTTTAATACAGAATTAAAAATATTAATATAATTATGTGCTGATTTAAAAGGAATAAAATCTAATAAATGATTAATTAATTTAAAATCATTATCAATATAATGAATTGTTATGCCCATAAAGGGTATTTTATTTGGAGAGGACCAAATGTCCATTGTTATGAGGTTCCAAAATTGGGAAGTGATATTTTTTTTTACATTTATTACAAATTGCCTTTTTTTTATTATCACAAGTAGTATAAAATTCCCAGATTTTTGCTGAATTTCGTCTTTTATTAGATATTGATAATTCTTCTTGTTCGCTATTATTATTAGTACCAACAGCATCTATATTTATTACCTCTTTTGGTCTTCATTTATTTAAATAAATAGACAAAATTGATAGATATCATGTAAAAAATTTACTTCCATAATAAAAATAAACTATAATTATAAATAACAGAAATATTGATATCACAGTAGTATTTGGAAGAAATAACAGATGTAATCAGTTTTTGCAATGAAAGTAAAAAAAATACCACGATATAATTATCCACGATAAACCCAAATAATTATGTTATTTTTAATATTAGTATTGGTATTGGTTAAAATTGTATTTAAACAATATATCAAAACCAATATATTTAGGTAATTGGTATTGGTATTGGTTGTAAAAGCAATACCAATATTTAAATATATATTGGTTTATATTGGTATTGGTATTGTAAACCAATATTATATTGGTATTGGTCCCACCCCTACGTCTCGCTATAACCCCGGGTTCATTATATCCCCGGTCTCCCCTAATTTTTTACAATTATATAAAATATGTGTAATTCTTATACAAATAGTGGTATTTAAAAAAATATGATTATATTATCTTATAAATAATACTTTTTTTACAAAAAAAATTTGATTACATATTTAAATTATTATATTAATGATTGTATAAGTAGCTTCTTATTACATATATACAAAGCACATGCACTAAATTAATTTTTATTGCATTACTCATATTTAATAATTAAATTACTATATTTTAGTTTTTAATGATTGTATAAGTAGCTTTTGATTATATACAAGGCACATGCACTAAATTAATTTTTATTGCGTTACTCATATTTATGATATAATTCAATAAATATAACCATATTCTATGCTTCAGATTGTGGTTTTCTAAAGAGTACAATATAATTTTATTCAGTTATTAATAATAACTATAAATTTAATTAAAATAAAAAATTTAAAAAGATTAAAAATAATAATATAAAAATTAAAAAGTTCGAAAAATAATAGCTAATAAAATAGTCGCTATATTTTATCTTAAATTATCATCTAATTAAACATAATAAAACTAAAAATATATATCATGATAATCTATAAATAATATTAATACAATAATTTCGAACAATTATCCTGGAATCATTATGAAAATTTAAATTACATGAAATAAACAATATATTCAAAACCTATACATAATAGAAATATTCTCTGAAAGACAAAGAAATGAGAATTTTTATTTAATAACTTTATAATTAAAAATTTTAATCTGGGTTGGATCTATCTTAAAATTATTTTAAAAAATTAGGCCGCTCATCCCTAAATAAAATAGGGTTGTTTAAAAATTTAATTTGCCCAGAATAACAACTTTCGAGTACGGTAAAGCCAATAACTCATATAAATATAATATATTAGAAAGAATAAAATATATCAAAAAATATATTAATTTTTTTCAAAATAAGATGATATATATTGGAATTCAATGTCTCGCAATAGCATAATAAGGAGAGAAAAGATTTATGGGAAAGTTATCAAGCCTGCCAAGAATATAATTTTGATATTTGGGGACGGAATGGGAATTTCCACTATAATAGTGCTCACAAATTGAGCGTTGCAACGCTCCGTTTTAAAAGCTAATAATGCATTTTAAATGGTATTGTGCAAATTGGATTTTTTTACGGCAAGCGTTAAATCAAACTAGTTTGATTTTTTTTATGCTTTTTTAATTTTGCGCTAAAATTTGAAAATTGATACAAAATTGTAAGTATAATTTATCTCATATATTAATTGATATTATATCATTTAGAATATATTAATTGATATTTATAAAATTTTAGAATATATTAATTATATTTTAGATAAATTTAGAATTATTAATTGATATTATTATTAGAATAAATTTTAGATATCAACCATTAGTTTAAGGTAAATATATATGAACAATGATAAATTATATTTTTATTAGCATTGGAGTTTCCACATAATGATCCAACTGTATCATGCTTAAAGAAGTTGAATATGAATATATAAAATAAAATTCATGAAGCCAATGATAAAGGACAGAAAAACTACTGACAATTTTAGTCTTAAAGAAACTACACCAAAGACTACTGGTTCAAAAATAAATGCACTCATGGGTGAAAGACTTTTGGCTCTTTTGGAAAGGGTGCCATCTGAAAGCCAGTAAAATATATTTTTTTATCTATAAATTTAATATAATTTTAGATTGTATCTACAATCAATGGCAGAAGGCTTGGAAAGTATGAGCCATTAAAATAAATACTTTTTCAATTGTGAAGTATCAAGATTGTATCATACTTTGATGGAGCAATCAAAGGATCAAAATACTATTGAATTATCACCAACAAATTCAACAGAAACAACTTTAAATCAAACATTAAATAAATTTTTTCTTAGTGTGTTTATTTTTGTAAATATGTTTATTTATATATAATAAAGTAATATTCCATATTATAGTGTCCATTTTTGAAAAATATATATTAATAAGCAAACTATTCAAAATTTATTTAGCATTTTTAATAAAATATATAGATTATTATAAATATATTAAGGTGATAAACAAATAAATATTATAATAATCAAATTATGAAAGAATGAGATTGAGTCAACAGTTATGAAAATCCAATAAATAAAAATATCAGGAGTAACATGATTGGAAGAAGTTACAATTAAGATCTAATAGTGTATGTATATTATAAATTTTGACATAATAATTAATTATTTAGATCAAAATTTGAAGCCTTTCTAGGATTTTAATTCATTGACATATAATTTAGCCAATATTATCTTTAGAAATTAAATAAAATATTATGTATATAAACACAATAATAATGTTTGATTTTTTAAGATATTGACTATTTATATCTTACTATGTTTTATTGAGCTAACAATATTTTATTTTGACATCTTATGTGATTATAATAAAAAAATTCAAAAACCAATTAAATAAAATTGGGCAAGATGGTATGATTATATTATTTTAATAAGATATTTAATATTCTTACATGTTCTAGTGTACATTTTTATTATTAAAGAATTGAAAATGTAATTAAATTATTTTATTTGCATTATTTGTAAATTATAATGATCTCCTCATCCTTGTATAATTAAAATTAGCAATTAGTTGTTTATCTTGTAAACTAAAGAAATCCATATTGTTTAATAAAAATTAAATCACGTTTCAATTTTAAAACAAGGAAAAAACGTACTGCTTTCAATTTAAACAAAGATGTGTTGCGTTAAAAAACGTACTGCAAACGCAAACGCTCAATTTGTGTGCACTATAACTGCGGCCAGAATTCTCAAGGGACAATTACGCAAGAGTGGGGAAGAAACAGTTTTGTCTTGGGAAAATTTTCCCCATGTGGCTTTGGCTAAAGTAAAATTATTTTTTTTATAAGGAAATTATTACAATTAGAGTTTTATTTATTTAAAATATCAGGACTTTTATATTTACCAAATCCTTTATTGAAATGAAAATGGTATATAAAGATAATTAACACCATACATAGTCAAGTTATTAAAAACGAGTTCTTATATCACAAACTATAAATATACTTTATTTTAATTTGAATGTTTGAACAGAATATAGTAGTGTTCATTCATTTATCGAATATATTTCTTACTAGAAGTAAATCAAAATCTACCTTTATAATTCACATGATAATCGCACAAAATCTCTGGACAAAAATTCCCCCTGACTTTTTTAAAAAAAATATTTATGTTTATAAATTAAACATCAATGAGAATCAAATCAATAGTATAATGGAGTTTTTTAAATTATACAATTTGATACAATTAATTGGCCAGAAATTTTTAAAGCTATTTTGAAATAAAACATTTTGTATATTGTTTAATATTATTGTTCCAATATTTAGAAAATCTAAGTTAGTCATTCAGTCACCCCTAGAACATAATTTTTCTCCTCCTTCTGGAAATATTATATTCTTCTTCTAAATTAAATTTTCCCATTTATTACCCGAGATTTTATCAGTGTGCCTAGATAAGCTTAACAGTAAAAATTGATTCACTTCATAAAATTTTCATATGAATTTAATTTTTTGCAATTTCAGGGATTCCTGTTCCTTTTATATTTTTGATGAATTTTTGTCCGGGATTTATGTTCCGAAATTAAATATGCTTACAAATATATCCATTATGATAAGACTTATAATACAGATCATCAAGTTCCAGATTCATCAGGAACCGCAACGGCCATGTTTAGTGGAGTTAAAACTAAAATGAGTGTAGTGGGATTAAATGATTCAGTTATTTATCAAGATTGTTCTTCGATTTCAAAATCTATTATTCCTTCCATTGCCGATTGGTATACTGAAATGGGTAAAACTAATTAATATATGTCCTTCATATTTTTACTTATTTTGTAACATATTTATCTAAATTAACCTTCAGGGGAAAGGGATTATAGAGAGAATTTAAATGGCAAAAGGCTTGACATGGCTAGCTTGAAAGGTGACATAAAATAGTACATAGGAAAGAACAATTTCAATAGATATCATAGGGGTATTTGGATCTGGGGTGTTTAAACAACTTCTTTGCCTTTATGGTCATATTCTCCTAGAGTTTAAATAATGAAGAATAAATCGAACTAGACAAGGCTGGTTACAGACAATTTATTTTATCCAGTCATTCAAAATGCAAAAAGAACAAAAATAAAAATGTCTCGCCATCTGGGAATTTAAACCCCTCAGAAGATTGTTAGATCTGCCTTGGCAAGAGTTTAGATTACATCGAATTTAATTTTTAAGGTTAAATTAATAAAGGGTTTTCACTAGAGATGATTCAACAGGAATATTTTAAATCGCATTGAGAACTAAGCCTTTACGTTAATAAAACAATAAAATGGATAAATTGCATTGCAATAAAAAAGGATAATTAAAAATGTTTTCCTTTTATATGCGATTTACTTTTTGAGTTTACAAATCTCATACAACATTTATGTGTTAGCTACCTAATTTAAAAAAGATAATGACAGTGATGCGACAAAACATATTAAATGTGAATGGGCATAATATAAATCAAATTACAAAACCATGTGTATCTTTAAAGAGACATAGTGTAGAGGTCTGCAATGGAATTTTTGGAAAAATTTAACTGCCTGTTAATTTATATAAAAATTTTGTTTACCCCGACCTCCTAATGTTTTGATTGGTTGTTTTGGTTCTTTATCTATTTTATTATATTATATTTTTACTTAAACTCATATGAGATAAATAAATAAATTTAAACTCGTTATTTGTCCTCCCTTTGTTTTTTCTAAGATTTTAAACCATCTTCCCAATGTTTAAATTTTAACTCAACCGTTGCGGACCTCTAATATTAATTAAAATATGATCGAAATCACAAGTAAATTTTTCATGTGAAAATTTTATATTAATTCATATTATTGTTATGTAGAATATAAATCAGAGACCTGCAGGCCCGGCCCGGCCCGGGCCTAAAAAAATTTTTTTTAAACATATCCAGGCCGGGCCGGGCCTAAAAAATTTTTTTTTAAATATATCCGGCCGGGCCTAAAATTGTTAAACCCGGGCCGGGCCGGGCCGGGCCTTAATATTTTTTATAAAAATTTTTACATTATGAGTTAATAGTTATAAGATTATATTATATTATAGTTATGATTTATACAATATTGGGTGATGGTTAACACTACCTAACAACCCACAGATCGATCTAATTATTAATTTCCTGCAAATTTATTCAAAGTATTAATATATTTTTTTATAATATCTAAATTTTTACAACATATTATACCAAAACAATCAAATAAAGGAATATCTTAAATAAGCCCCAATATTCAAATATTATTAATATATTTTTTTATAAATCATATCTAAATTTTTAGAGTATATTTTACCAAAACAATCAAATAAAGGAATATCACTTCTTAAAGTTTGTAATACCTTTCAAAGCGAAAAGGAGAAATAAAATTGATTTTACTTAATATAAAGCATTTTTTAATTGAAAAATTTGTTTTACACAAGTATCATTTTATTTCTCTTTTTCTCTGTCCCAAATTCAAGCAATTACGTATGTAGTCAGGGACAGATCGCAAAATGACGGAAAACTATATAAAAGATTATATTAAATTACAAGAGGCTCAGGAAGTAAATGAAATACCATCGACCAGTCAAATTACGACTGTTGTTAAACAAACTGAATCGTTTTATGACAAATGGGGCTATGGTAATTCTGGTAATATGTCAATACCCGATGATGAATATTATAATTACATAAATAATAGATAAAACATTTAAGGTGGATAATTTGTTAGAGTGGTGGGCGGCTCATCAAAGCGAATTTCCAATTTTAGCAAAATTGGCAATTCCTGCTTTAAGTGCAAGCTGTGAGCGGAATTTTTCCACTACTGGGAGAATTCTTGAAGAAAGAAGAAGTAATCTTCAACCTGAAAAGGTAGATATGCTTCTCTTTCTTCATGATAATTTGTGAATTTTTAATATCTTTCTTGAGTATAGGGTTTCGTCAATCATGCTGGTTTTTTACTTTGCAAACTGTCAAATATTTATTGCATTTATTATATTTACCTTGAGTCATGAAAGTTTTTAATCCAACATTTTTCATTATTTTTTTTTACAATATTATATAATACAATTATCTTCTTTTGTTAAAAATTTATATTATAAAATAAATTATATTAATATTGTGCAATTAGATTATATTTTCAAAATACTATTTTTTATACATGCATTTTTTTTAAATAGCGATTTATTTTTATTTTATAAATTAAATATTAAAATAAATACAATATATTATATTCTCAAAATATTTTCCATTTTTATAAATTAAATATTAGTTTTATTTTTTTTAAATGTAATATAAAATATAGTATATGACAAATATTATGACCATTTTTATGAATATTAGTTTTATTTTTATAAATGCAATATAAAATATAGTATATGCTCAAAATATCCATTTTTATAAATAACAGTTTTATAATTTTTATAAATTCAATATAATATTCTCAAAATATTAGCTTTTTACATGTATTTTTTAAATAATAAGCGATAATACTCGCTGAAAAATATGGTAAAATACCTCATAGGTGAATTTTTGTATATACAACCAGGTCAATATAATTTTAAAAAAATTCCGAGTCGGGCCTGAAATTTTTTTTTAAAATAATATCCGGGCTGGGCCTTAAATTTTTAAATCCGGGCCGGGCCGTAAAAAATTTTTTTAAAAAATATCCAGGCCGAGCCGGGCCTTAAATTTTTAAATCCGGGCCGGGCCGGGCCGGGCCGTAAAAATTTTTTAAAAAAAATATCCGGGCCGGGCCTAAAAAATTTAAAACCGGGCCGGGCCGTGCAAATGGTACCTCTGCAGGTCTCTGATATAAATTAATATATAATATAAATCGAAAATAAATAATGGAACATAACGATCACTGAGAATTAGACCTATTCAAAAACAAATATGAAATGAATAACATTAGATTGCAAATCTTATATTGTTGAGAATATACAGCAGATAGAATAATTTTTAATTTAATTATTCTTATTCGATTCTTATTAGTATGAATAATAAAATATACTATTCTTATTCGATAGTATTTCGGAACTATGTCCATAAATAGGAACCAAATGTCCAAAATATCACATGGTTTTAATTAATATTACATAAACATAATTTCTAGACAGATATTTAATTTGCAAATCTGCCCCACTCCCAAAATATCAGCTTAAAACTTTAATCAAAATAATGGAGAACTTTTTTAGCCGAGTTAAAATGTGATTCGTTATTAAAAAAGCTTTTAAAAAGAGTGGTAAAATATGATTATCAATACAAAAGTAATTTAAATAAGTAATAGTTATGCTAATTTTATGAGGAGTAAAAGGTGGTATAAAAAGATTTAATACGAGAAATTGAAAAGAATTTCTAACACTTTTCAGCTTAATTTTTTTTAAGTTTAGTGTTCTTTTAACTTGGATAACTGTAACAAAAAAGGAAATGTAAATTAATAGACTTAAAATAGGATTATAATTATAATTTTGTTTTAAAATTAAAATTGGAAAAAAGCCGATAAGTATTTCTTTTAATATTATTCGACTTCTCAAAATTTGAGGGGCTATTTCTATGAAATTATTTATCTTTTTGAAATAGAAGTTGTTTTATATAGAGCTTTTTTAGATCATTAAAACCTGTCGATCTGTCTGTAATTTTTATAATTTCACAGGTAAGTAACTTTAAAAAAATGGAATAGAATTTAAAAAATAAAATCTAATAAGTAAAATATTTTTCAGATAAATCAGTAGGCATAGTAACTAATTCTAGAGTAACTCACGCGACTCCCTCTTGCCTATACGCTCACTCACCTGATAGAAACTTAGAAGCTGATATCGATTTTGAGGTTTATAATGTTACAAGAAGTCAAGATCCTAATATGTGTCGGGATATCGCTTGGCAATTGATCAATCAATCACCCGGAAATAAACTTAAAGTTGTAAAATTACATTTTTATAGTATATATTGCCATTCTTGTATTTTTTGACATTGACATAAAATATATTTCTATTGTTTCTAAACACCATGTAGGCATAAGTTCCATACTAAAATTATATTCAAAATTGGTTAAAATAAAAGGAATGCACATATAGACCAAGGCCAGATGTAGGCTAGTTGGGTTGGTATATATTAGACATAGGCCAAGGCATGATTTTAGTTAGGTTTTGCTTTAGTGTATAATGCTAAATTTCACAATTTTTCAAATTCGGTTTAAGATATATATATATAATTTATCTCATCTTCTTGATTTATAATAAACATAAGACCAGAGCTAGTCGGCGCAAGGGGCTTGTCGGTTCAAAGGATTTTATTTTAAAACCAGTAAAGATTAAAAATTGAAATTTAGTTCTAAAATAGAATTCTATAATATCCATAATTGGGGATGAAAATAATTTATAATATTTAGCTATTTAAATTTTTATCCGTTATGACATGTTTTTCGTAAAAATTACAATATTTTCACTTAATATTATTAGGTTGTATTAAAAAATTAAAAGTTTAAACATGACAAAATGAACATTATATGAAAGTTAAATATCTATTTTAATATTTGGGAAAGTTTCAGATTAATATATAATGTTTAAATATATGTTAAGATCAAATTAGTAATTTTATCACCATTGAGGTTAGTAGAATCTTGGCTAGTCGGCGCAATCAGTCAATATTTATTATATTATTATGGTACCCAAGTATATATGCAAAATTCAAAATAGTAAAATTTTTACTATAAAAAGATTATGAAGAAACTATAAAACTGTATGAAAATGATATCTCATTAAGAAAAATCAATTTAATACAAGTTAAAATATAATATTTTATAAATGTAATATATTAAATAATAATTAATATATAAATTTATTAATGTGATTGATTTTTCATAATACATTTCAATTTTAATATAATATCAGACCTAAATAAATATCTTGCAAACATATTGTGATAATATATTATATATTGTCACAGATAATATAATATTTTATAAATGTAATATATTAAATAATAATTATTATATAAATTTAGTGATTGATTTTTCATAATACATTTCAATTTTAATATAATATCAGACCTAAATAAATATCTTGCAAACTAAAATCTTCATATACATATTGTGATAATATATTATATATTGTCACAGATATTATATATATTGCATATATAAATTTTAGCCTGATAATAAGATCAATAATTTAAATTATCTAGAAAACAAATATAATATATATATTTTTTGTAATTGAACAATATAAATGATTCAAATTAATACATTTAATAGATATGAACATTTTAGCATATAAATTTTAGCCTGATAATAATATCAATATATTTAAAATGAATTATATCTAACAAACAAATATTTATATATATATATATCTATTTTAATTAACAATATAATATGATTTAAATTAATTCATTTTATTGGATATGAACATTTTAGTTATCAGATTATATTTAGCATGATAATAAAATCGAATGATGTTATATATTTAAATATAGAATTAGATAAATTTTGAGTAAATTTATTATTAATAAAAAATAAACATTAATAAAAAATTAATAAAAGATGTATGTATTATATATAAACTGAATTATAAAAGTTTTCATAATTTTGAAGATTGGTTTCAATGTAGAGTGGTTCTCTGTTATTTTATTTGTTATAATTGTAAATAGAATATTATATAAAAGTATCATAGTTATATATTAAAATCTGAAAAAAAAAATTTTGTCCCAAAAGAAGCCTAATAAACCACTTGATTCGACTAGCCCCAGCGATGATCCGACTAACCACGGGTTCGGGGTTACTAGGTTCAAAAAATGACTTTTACTATAACCTTTCTAGAGAAATAATTATTAAATATTTAAAAAATATAACAGTATATATTTATAAGTAGATGTTTAAGGTATGGTATTTTGTAAAATCTTATGTGATCATTATTTTCGGAGCTATGATGATTTCGACAAAAATTGCGCCGACTAGCCCTGGTCTCCACTATATGGGGTAGGGTTGCTTCAAAATAAAAAAATAGTGTATATATATGTGGCTTGAAATAGATTTTTAGTTTGGAATTATTTGCCGACACCTGCGTTCCGTAACAATAAATTTTTTGCTAAAATACCCTTTTGCAAAAAAAACTGTGTTTTAAACAGAGCTTAACCAAAATCTTCAAATAAAGATTTGAAGATTCTTTAACCCAAAATTTTGAACAAAAATTTGAAGATTCACAAAATTAAGTTAACGAAGATCAAAATTTAGAAAATTTTGTCATTTTCTCATGAAAGATTTTTTAGGCATAAAAAATCACTAAGTATTTACTAATAAAATATTTTTACGACAAAAATTTAAAAAAAAAACTTCCGATTTTTATTTTTGAGCAAATGTTAAATGCTTAAGAGCTGCATTTTTAAAAAATTAACATTTTAAAAAGTAATTAAATGGATATCAATTTCTAATTTAAAAAATTAATATAAAATTAATTGTGTCGTTAAAAATATATTTATTATATCCTATAACCCAAGAAATTTTGATATCAATAAATTAATTATCAGAAAAAAAAGGAAACCAAAACCAACTTCACAAGGTACAACTGCAATGCGTGGTGATAATCTTATCTAAAAAGAATAAAACCCTATTACAGAAACAGGATGAGTCATAATTGACTTTCTAATCTATCATTTATTTTAATAGTTTGAAATGTTCTTCGAATAAAAAATCTTTACAGATTATGATCTTCTGAAGATATTTTTAGAAGATTTTTTGAGAATGCTCAAACAAGTTTCTTGATCAAATTTTACCTTAAAATTCAAAATCTTTTTTGTAAAAAATGGTTTATAAGTAAATAATTTGTTATTTTTATGTATAAAAATCTTTCGTGATGAAATCACAAATTATTTAAAAAATGATCTTGATCTTTAAAAAAATCTTCAAATTTTTGATCTTCGAAGATTTTTTCTCAATTAAAATCTTTTTCAAACTCTGACTTTCAATGAAAAAAACTTTTAAATCTAACAATAACTTTTATAATTTCATACTTGAGCGTTTTACTCAAAAAGAAAGACAAAGTCTACTAATACATTTTAATATTTTGTTTGGTTTTGCAAATAGAAAAACATTAATTGCTTCCTATACATTGTTGATTATTATACAGAATTTACGAATTTATTATAAAATTAAATAATATTAAGTAAATTAATAGTTAGCCAACTTCGATAGATTCCTTTATTAGTCTAGAGAAATAATTTAACACTTTACTCTTAAATATACCATGCATATATTTTATGTGATACACATATACCTAACCTTAAATAAAAGCCGAATTATTTAAAAACAGACTTCTATCAAAAGGGTTTTTCAGAATCAACATTTCATAGAATCAAACAAAAAATTAATTCTTAATAAATCTTTTTTAAAGGTTGTGTTAGGAGGTGGTTGGAAAAAATTTGCCACCAAAAGAGAAGAATTTTCAGACATATTATGCCTAACTTATCCTAAAAGGCGTTGCACCGAAAATGTCAAAATAGGACTTAAAATGGATAAAACTGAAACTAATCGCAATAATAATATGGTCCTAAACAGGATTAAAATATTGACATTTGGTTACTCTAACCATTCAAAGTTTCCAGATATTGATAAAGCTGCGAAAGGAGAAAGAAATGATAGAAATTTGGTGAAAGATTGGATAAATTAACGAAATCTGAGAAAGGATAAATACGCATTTGTAGCCATTAAGCAACTTAAAAGAGTGAATCCATTTAAAACAGATTATTTATTTGGTAGATTTCCTTCATATTAAAATTGTATAGTATATTTAAAAATGATTTTGTATTAAGATTGAATTCATTGCTAGAGAGGGGGTGCTAACTAGAGGTCTGCATTGGGTGGGGTTTTGACCCGCCCGCCTACACCCACCCATCTAAGTGGGCGGGTGGGCGGGTAAAAATTTTTTTGAGAATGGGCAGGCAGGCGGGTTAAAGAAATTAAAAATTTTTGTTCAAAAACAAACTAAAGAAAAATCATAATTAATTAAATTATCAATAACAATATTTCTTTTTTTAGTGTACCAATCGTTTTTTTAAGTGAAGAACACTTTAGTGTTTCGACATCTTTATCTAATTTTTCCCACCATATATAATGTTTCGTAATGGATTTCATTGTTGTAATACCCGGATGTCCCGTATGCAATATATGTACAACTCTTTTTTGAAGTGAGTACGGAATGATTAATCTGCCATCCAAAGTAAAATACCGTCATCATTTTCTATTTGTTCTAAAAGCTTGTAATTCTGGTGCTTGATTTTGTATATTTGTACCATTTATTTTCTTGATTGAGTTAATGTGTCATAAGTAAGATTTCTTATCTTGATATTCTATCATATTGGGTTTCGCGATAAATCATCTGCAATTATATTATTAGCGCCATTCTTGTACATTATATTATAATCATATGCAGATAATTTATAAGCCCAACGTAATAATCTTTGATATGTTAATGAGCTTATCTCTGTTATTACCATATATCTTTATTAAAGGTTTGTGGTCTGTTCAAATTTTAAATTTTCGTCCTTACAAATAGTTATGAGATTTTTCTACGCCGTTTATTATTGCTTTTGCTTCTTTGTCTATTGTAGAATAATTCTTTTCAGAGTCTTATATAGTTCTTGAGGTGTAAGCTATTGGAAATTCGTTACCATTATCATATTTTTGCATGAATACAGCTCCAAATCCTTGGTTAGATGCATCTGTTTCTAATATTAACTCGAGGCCTGGTTAATAAAACTGTATAGTATTTTGTTCTGTTACTATTCCGAATAGCATGAAACGATTACTAAAATGGCATGATATTTTATTTTGGAATGGCAAATTAATCTTCGTACTCACTTCAAAAAAGGTCTTACTATATTGCATAAGGGGCATCCGGATCTCACTTGAGGAAGAGGATATATTTCAGACGGATATCCTACTTTGGTGGAAACGACAAGAGATTTGCCAAAGCTATCAAGATAAACAAGAAAAATATTGGCATTTCCTGCAACTAGTGCTTCTTCTGAACGAGGATTTAGCATTGCTGAAAGGTTTTTAGAACAAAGAAGAACGTGTTTGAATCCAGAAAATGTCAATTCATTATTATTTTTGCATTATAATTACATATAATATCAATTTTATATTTATATTTCATAAATATTCTATTTGATCAAATAAATTGTTCATAATTTTAATTGAATATTTTTTTATGCTTAAATTAATTTCCTATTACAAACATTTTGTAAAGGTGTAATGCTGAAATATTTTTATTAGATGCTTAAAAAATTGAAAGAATGACCATTATTAAATTTTATAAGTGGACTTGGGTTAAAATTTTTATAAATAATGGGCGGGCGGGTAAAAATTTTTTAGACTAATGGGCGGGCGAACGGGCGGGTAAGGAATTTTAGACAAATGTGCGGGGCGGGCGAGTATATATTTTTTGAAAACTATGGGAGGGTTGGGCGAGCTGGTTAAATTTTTTTAAAACATTGGGTGGACGGTCTTTTGGTCCAAAAACCCGCCCAATGCAGACCTCTAGTGCTAACCATCTAAATAAAAAAAACTCATGAAAAAATGAAATATGGTATGGGTAGAAGAAATTGATTTTTAGTGGAGTGAGTAGAATTAGTTAATTTCTTCTTTTTCCTTCAAAATTTATTATTTCTCAGTGGGCGTAAATTTTTTTAAAAATAATTATTGGGCGATCAACCCGGGCCGGGCTAAAAATGATAAAACTTGATAAATATAATTTAAAAAGATATAATATATTGAAAAATTGTCTTTCGCGCTGCCATAGAACTCTCGCCGCCGATGTATGCTAATTAATAAATATATTTAAATAGAACACGAAAAACTTAATAAATAAAAATTTATCCTAGTGTCAATACCATATATATTTCTTACAAAGTTAGCTATAATATGACCTATTATATACATCCCAAATAAATATTGTAATTCATGCATTTGTTTTATATACTTTAAATTTGTCTATTCGATATTTAGAAATGAATGATATTATAGGTTAGATTGCTATAAAATTCCATATAGCAATAAACCAAGTTTGGTGTGGAAGTTTTTTGGCCAACTCATACATACAAATAATAGTGACAAGAAGATAATCATACAAGATAATTCTTATTTCTGTAATGTGTGTCTGAAAGAAGCTGAGAAACTAACAATTTTTAAACAATTGAAAAGAATTCGATATCAACATAACAATGTTGCTGTTGGATAATAGTGAAAAATTTAAATTGGCCCAAAACCGATTCCAATAATGAGATTATCTCTAATACATTAGAACAAGAATGCTAACTGATATTAAGACAGCAAGCCCTTGAAACTGACGTAATGGCATTTTGGAAACACAAAGATCTAAAATTATCCAATTAAGAAATACTTTTTAAAAAAATAATGTCCGTCCCAGCTACCAGTGGACGTATTTTTTCTGGGTTTGATATTGAATTCAAAAATATCTTTATTATCTCCAGATAACTCGGACAAAATTATATTTATAGAGGATAACTACAATTATCCTCTGATATAATTTTTTTTAATCAATTTGTGTATTTAAGTTTATATTTGTGTAATGGTGCAATTTTTTAATCATCTTGCCAGGTATTGCTTAAATTGGTGACGCAATTCATTATTCTTTGTTAAAAATATTTTATAAACATTTATAAATTTATATGAAAATTTATATGTTTGGTGTGTGATAAAAGATGCATTTACATTCTGATTTTTTTGCTTAATTTTGTTCTCAATAATATACAAACAAATTTATACTGTTTATCATGTAGGTTGTATAATCGGCGCGCCGAAAATATAAGATGTTAATTTTAAACAATTTCAAATTTATTTTTATATATTATATAAATTAGCTGGAAATTTAATTTATATTTTATCAAATTTCTGATATTTTATTTTCTGCTATTTTTTCAAAACTCTGATTGTGAGGTAAATTTATTCCAAATATTCTATTAAATTCAAATAGAACTCGGAGTAAAGCATATTATTGGCGAATGTGAAATGTCAGTGTTAATTTTTATAAAATTTAAAGCATAATGACGGAATTATAAGCGAATTATTTCTGCCAGCAGCTGGTACTGCAGCTAAAAAGTGCATAAAATTATTTATCAAGCGGTTGTAACTGCAGCTAAAAAAGTGCATAGAATCAATAACTATGTAATAGTACAAATATATTCAACAGTGTAATGATTAAGTAAAGAAGCTCAAAAATCTTATTACAGATATGTATGTTGTCGAATAGACAAATCTAGTAAAGAGCGTCTCTACGAGATGGTTATCATTTGTTCTAGCAAACAACTTCGCCAATTTTAGAAATATATTATAAGATGAATAGTCGAAGCATATCTGCTTGGCATGACCTCACATTTGCCTAGGTATTCATGACATCGAGACTAATATGAAGTCCTACTTCAATCTTAACCTTAACCTTTGGTACCTGGACGATGGAACCCTACTTCGTTCTGAGGCCATTAATTTCTTAATTATGAATCTAAAACAGTAGGTTTTATTTTAAATAAGGATAAAACAAATATTATTTTTTACCCCATCAGATCTTTTTAATTGTTTTAAGGTTATTGATCGGGAGTCAATCTCCCTTTTAGGATCTCCATAAGTAGTGCTATCCCCATAATAGCAAGTCTAGAGAAAGCAATTGCGTAACAAAATTGAACATATTGCGCATTATTCTCCATCAATCTTTATATTTAATAAGGAAATCGCTATGGTTTCCTAAAATTCTACATCTTTTTAGGGCCTCATCTTCATTTTTAAACTTTTCTTTGTTTCAGCCCTTGACCTGAAAATTTAAAACTTTCTTGAGTTTATCTTAAATATTCATTTTTCCTAGTCTAATTGGGCCATCGCACAACTTCCGTTCAAGGAATGTAGTTTAGGGTTTCTCCCTCTTAATTTAGATTTTTGTCAGCCTCCCTTTCTTCTCGTCTTTAATGCCAATAAGTAATGAGTGGTAGAGATAGACTATTTGAAACTATCTGTATTGTGGAGAACTCCGATCCTACGGACCAACATCGTCTAAGTTTATATTCGGACAATTCAGTGGTCATAGAGCTATTAATTATAATCTCAAACAAATTAGGGTTGACCAACTACCCCCTGGAACCCGTCCACTTATTCCTGTTTGAGGAAAAGTCCAGATGGGTTTACAAACCTTCATTAGTTATAGGAAAACACCTTATTTAAGATTTCGCTTGTCTTTCAATTTTCTCCTATTATTGCAGCTGAAAATCAAAAATGAGAAAGTACCATGACTTTTCTGATTTTCACTTTATCTAAATAGAAAATTTTTTTAAAAACATTAAAAATTATTAGTTTTTTTTATTAAGCATTTCGACTTCGAATCATACAGCATTTTATTAAATAAACCTACTGAGATTGGTTTTTTTATTTTTAAAGATAAACCAAATTTAATATTATTGTATATTTTAAGTGGTTAAATTTTTTGTTTATAATCTTGACTGATAAGATTTTATGCTTTATTCTCAGGCCTATTTTCCCCGAATCACATGGCATATAAGGCGAAAAGGACACATAATACAATTGAACCAAGTATTACTCAAATGTCTATGAAAGCTATCGAAATACTAGAAAAAAATGAAAAGGATATTTCCTTTTGATAGAGGGTATTAATTGTAATATATATAATATAGGTATATATATATTTTTTAATATATTAAAGAATAGAGGAGACTGGGTCATATAGCTAAGATTTTTTTTATGTTTGCTAAAAATAGTTTATCTTGGGACATGGACTAAACCCCATAATTTACTATGATAACACTATCATTTAGCTATGAAATAAAAACTCCAAAAGCTCAATTTTTGATAGTTTAGGAGTTAATTGGCAATATATCTAGGGTTAGTTGGCAATAAATCTGGGATGAAATACTTCTAGATAGCTAGAAATTCCGGACTTCTTCTAATATGTAGATATTAGTCAATAGAGAATTTCTCTTAGAAATTTTTAAAAATATTATTTATAAAAGTCATGGTCTAAATTTATTATCCAAAGTAGCAGGGAGAATTAGTTGAAATGATTTTTCGCAAGTTTTTTATTTTCTTTCTTATATATTTAGAAAAAAACCAGTCTGCAAGCCTAGCTCATTAAAGCTGGTTCATTTAGTGAAAGAGGGGGGGGGGGGGTAAAATTATTAAAAACCCAAATTTTAACAATTATATGCTTCAAAAAAAATACATTAATGTCAAACCTGGAGCCAAAAATATATTTTTTTGTGTTGCAGGGTTTGAGAAGAATTAATGCTATATAATAAAATTTAAATCAGAGGCGTAACGTAGAGACCGGGGTAAATTGGTCTACTTTTTGTTCAAACCTCAATAATATTAAACTAAGATGAATATCCTGAATCCGTATAGTATATTTGAAATAGTTAATACACATTTTTTATTTTTAGAAAATAACATTTGAAAATTTTTTTATTTCTCAACGTTGTCCTTACTTCGGGTGCGTTGGTTCAACAATAAGTAGTTCTGTTAAAGGGCTCGTTTTGAGCCGATTTTTAAAACGGCTAACTCAATATTTCATCTAGAATAATATTACGCAAGCCTGAAGATTTTGCTTGTAGAAGGAACAAAGGTTTGGACTTCTTTTAGCGAAACCTCGAGGCTTTGGCAATATTTTTCTGGCCAAAAAATTGAGTTAGCCGTTTTTAAAAATCGGCTCAAAACGAGCCGTTTAACAACACTAACAATAAGTGATAAATTAAATTTAAAGATTTTTAGAAATTTTTGTAAAAAAAAAATAAAATATTTTTGTTGGTTTAAGCAAAATAAAAAATAAATGCAAAATAATTAATATGGTAAATTCCTCTGATCAACCATCACCATGCACTCTAATTTTATATGCCATTTAAAATGGTTTTATAAATTTGAAAAATTGTCAGAGTAAAAAATAGGGTTTTATCTTTCTTAAAATTGATTTATTTTTAAGGTATTATATATAAAATTAAACTGTAAAATCTGTTTTTATAAAAATTTAAAATCTTGTTTAGCCAATGATATATGACATAATTTTTATATTTGGTTTAAATTTCCACTCTTATACATTAATAGTATTATACACATAATATATGGCTATAATTTTAATAAACTAATATTTTTAATTAAATAAAGCTTATTCAACCCCCCTCCCATCCCAGAAGTTATCCTATAAATTAATTTCCCTCCCAATCCTGAACAAAATCGTAGAGGTTCTGTCCGACCTGGCTGTTAGGACCTTTTATTACTAAAATGGTTATTTTAACGAGATAGGTGAATGGCGGTATTGTAATTTAAAAAAATAATTACACATCTAGAGGAGATAATGCCTTTTGTTGTTATGAAAGTCAAATTACATGATATTTAAAAAATTTAATATAGGAGCAAAGATAGATAAAGCCCATCACGAAGGGAAAGCTAGATTAGCACTTGAGGAAACTATAGATTTAGACAAAGTCTTAGAGAAAATAATTGAAAGAGAAAGCCGGAAAACAGTTGACGATACGCTGATAATTGTCACATCGGATCATTCACATGTTTTTACGCACGGTGGGTACCCTTTGAGAGGCAAAATTTATTTTTATTAATATGCTTTCACATATTCAATATTCATAAAATATTATGAATCGTTTTGTAAATATAAAGTTTTTTATGTAGATTTATAGTAATATATAGAATTTGATATATTTTTCCATTATATTGCTATCTTTGTGGAAAATATTTTAAAATCTTAAGACTAAAGGACCTCCCCTTAACTTCTCTTCTATTTTTTTAAAATTAGTTTTAAAATAGTGACATTATGAATTTTCTAATGTTCAACATTTTGTAATTATTGGTAAAACATAAAGTCTAGCTTTTTAAATATAATTGATTATACACTCAATATTTTTTAATGACCAAAAAATTGCCCTCCTATAAATTTTTAGAAATTTCATTCATTTTAAATCACTTTTTTAATATTTATTTTAACAAGGCTTAAACCGTGCATATGCTAATAAAAAATACGAACTTTCAGACATCGATAACATGCCATACGCTTCTTTAAACTATGGGAACGGTCCTGGTGGAATTAACACAAAGTTCACTCATCGCCAAAATTTGACAAATTTAGAATTAGGTCTAACTATTACAAATCAGCTTGTTTTTTAATTTGGAAATGTTTTTTATATAAATGGGCCAAAAAATTGGATCCATGCCGAATAATGTATTTCATTCATTCAATCAGTTTTTTAGTAATTTAAACCTAGGGTAGCCAGAGATTTAATATAATTTGACCTGTGCGCCAATGAAATAATTATCCACGGCGGCGTTTTTAAGCTGCCTCGCGCAGATTTTAAATAAATAATTTGATAACTATGATTCAGGTTATTAAGTATGATTCGTTTGTGGAAAGATATATGAATATTATCAAGATCACTGACGACCAAGAGATATTACACTATGAAATAGATAATTTAAGTAGAAATACCGATAAAGGAATTCTTTAAATGAAAAATATTCACCATTTTTCTGCTGATCGGTATTGACTATTGTAATTGGAGAAGGATTTAGCGATTATATTTTGTGCTAAACCTTAATTATCAAGTAGATTTTGTAAATTTTCTATAAGCACTCCCAATCTTAATTTATAACCTGGATGAGAAATTGAGGCCAAATATAGCTGAATTAAATATAATTAAATGTTAAAAAAATTATATTACCTTTGCTATCTTATTTTTAGAATACAGCGGTTTTATATATCATATTCTAGTAACCGTTGAAATCTTCTTAAATTGAAAAGAATAATTAATAAATTCAAATAAAAACATGTTTTTTATATCTTTTTTTCTCTTTATTTAGGTGGCATAGATTATTTGCACCAAGCAGCGGTTCCTTTAACAGAAGAGAGCCATGGTGGAGAAGACGTTCCAATATACGCTATGGGTCCTAATAATACAAGAGCAACATTATATAGGGCACATTATTTTTTATACTTCATGCGTCGGTCCTTACAAAAATGCACCCCATTGTTAGTTTTAAATATATTTTATCACATAATTAATTGTATCTTCTAAGTTTAATTAAATCAATGACATTTTAAGGTTGAGTAGTTAGTATTAGCTTCTTTTTTTTAATTTGAAACAAAAAATGTTAATAATAATTTATAAGTTAAAAAACACTATTTAACGTTAAAAAATTGGTAATTAGGTTAAAATGCTGTTTTCATATGAATGATATAAAATGTAAGTCTGCATGATCTTGTTAAAAATTGTTTTTGTGAAGCATATATAAGTATTTTGACTATTTATGTTGATAAAATATTCATGCTTGGGAAAGGTGCATCATCGATTTCTAATTCATTACATCAAATAAACTTATTATAAATAATAAATCTGTTCAGTTCAAAAATGAATATTGGAAAAAAAATAAATTAATTTTCCATGTTTAAATAAATTCGGGCCAGGCCGACAAATAATTTACATCAGGTCACGCTATTCGGGGCAAATAAAAAAAAATTTGTTCGAAATCAAACTAGGTATGTAGACCATTATATTTTATTTTTAGTAAAGGCTCAACCTAAATTCATATGAAGCATATATATTTTTTCCTCACTACATGCTACCCATCTATATATTGGGATGTTAAAAATTCTAAAAAACATCTTATATTTTCCATGTAAAATTATTAAATGATGTGATGTTGTTAGTATTACAGATTCTCTGCTAAAAATATCTTGAAACCATAATAAACTAAATGAATTTAAATCTATATCTTATTTTTTTAGTTTTATATTATCATCTTCAAATAAAATAATAGCTTGTTTCCCTTTCATAATACTCATTACATGATAAAAACGTATCGTCCTCTAATTTTGTGGCTAAAATAGAACTACGCTAAGTAATCGTCATTTCCACTGGATATTTAAAAAAATTAGGAGAAACTTTATATTAGGAGCCCTTTACATGTTAATGGGCAGGGCGGTAAATATGACATTTTAAAAACTATTATTTATACGTTTTTAAACCGGAAACAAAAGAATTGTACAAAGGAAAATTCTAAAGGGTTGATTAATTTTAAATTGTATGCTCATTAAGTAAGGTTGATTGATTTGAATAAAATGGAATTAATTTTTTTGCTAACACGAGCCACAAATCAATAAAAAATTTGTGGATTTACATTTAAAATTTTATTTATTATTAAAAATAAATAAAAGTATTTGTCTGAAATCGTATAAAATGCAAAATACTTTATATATTTTAATATTCAAAATACAAATACTTTCTAAAATATTCAAATAAATACTAAATAAAAATACAAAAATGTATTTGTATTTAAATGGTAAGCGAAAAATAATTCCCCGGAATAAAGATCCCCAAAAATAATTCCACGGAAAAAAATCCCCTAGAAAATAATACCCCTGAAAGATAATTTCCCGGGAAAAAAATCCTAGGAAAATAATTACCCGGAAAAAAATTCCCATTGAAAATTATTCCCCAGAAATAAATTCCTAATTTTTTAGATTTTAAATTAAATACAGGGGAAAATAAATCCTCGGAAAAAAAACCGCCACTAAAATAACGAAAATATTTCTAAAAAATTATATTCATTATTTTCTGAACGTTGAGTATTTATTCTCGACGTTTGAGGATTATTTTAGCGTTATTTCTGTTTTAATTCTAAGCGGCAAACTTAAAATATGAGAATTGATGTAGCTTTGATACTTTATAGTAAATAGCATAAAAAGTATAGATCTGTGACATCTTGGAAAGAAAACATGATAGATTTTTATAGAAATAGATGAAAATCATACAAGGTTTTACAATTTAAAATTGAAAAAAAAGTGAAAACAAATTTTTTACTAGAAAGAGGGAAGTTATTTCCATATTCTACTTTTCATCTAGATTTCAATAGATATTATGAGAACAGATCATTTAACCAAATTCCTAGATTCAGTTTAAATACATATTCGCATACTGCCCAATCCTGATGACATTATTCTCAATATGCACACTTATACATACAATTTAAACATTGGCGTATAGAGGAGGGCTGCTTAGCAACCCTAAATTTAAAGTTGCCTTTAAGCAGCCCTATATAGTAAGAGCCAGTGTTCACTGATCCAAAATTATAATATGGTTTACTATACCTCCTATTCCTTTCAAACCCAATTATAAAATTGAATATTTATGATTGTTAAGCGATTAGTATTAGATGTAAAATATTCTTAAAGATTTTTTAAAGATCAAAATTATTTTTAAAAAATTTGTGATTTCATCAAAAAATCAATTATTTATAAAAGATTTTTTACAAAAAAGATTTGATATTTTAGTTAAAATTTGATCAAAAAAATCTTCCTTCAAAAAATCTCTGATATTTTTATGAAGGACATTTCAAACTCTGCTTAAAATTTAAGGATTAAACCATTGCAAAAAAGAGATATCATATTTTAAAACACTGTAATATATAAAATTACTTAAAGATACCATATTTTTTTTTACCATATAATGTTGGTTAATTGAATCTAATAGATAATAATCATAATATTATAATAAACAATTTCCCAAGTTCTCACTATATTTGAACTGAATGAAATGATTAGTATAACATTCATATAATAGTTCATTTTAGACGCACCTAAATTATTATAAGAATTATTTATGAAAAACATATATATAAATTTTAATCAATACATATTCATGTTGCGCTCTTCCTTAATAATCAATAAATGGTCTCTCCTACCTTGGTCCACTATTTTACTATTACCTTCGCTTTTACTGGCCTTAGAGTTTTTCCAATTCTTGCGACATTCTCGTTTTATTCTTTCCTTTACGACCCTGTCTTCCAAAATGGTGGATACAGTAGTATCGGCTAAATTTTTAGAAGAAATTTCCGAATTCTCATTACTAATAATCGATTGAGTTTCGTTATCATGGTTTTTTTGCCTTCCAAGCCTTAAACTCTCTAAGCATTTGGTAGCAATGTCGGTATCAACTGAATCTGAACCTCCTTTATCATAATTTATATTGTATTCTTCGCTCTTCCATGAGGGCAAATCTACTAATATTCGCTCCCTTTTTTTGAACACACGCATGTACCTATTATTATTATCATTACCACCATCATCCCCCAAAATTCCATAGCTATCTTCAGGACCGAAAGCTATTTCTAGTATAGGCTCTAATCTAATAAGTTCGTATGGATCTTTTTCAGAATCAAAATCATTATCAGATAATGTATTTGTTGCTTTTGCGAGTAAAGAATCTGTCAAAAACCTATCCATAAGACTTGTTGATTCTTCTTTCATGTCTTTCATAAATTAATTTTAAATTTTTGGAAAAGAATAAATTAAAAATAGATATCTCATCGTACATAAATATAGGGTAAATTATTTAAAAAAAAACAAACAATTAAAATAAAATAACAATATGTTTTTTTATTTTTGCACAACCCTCAAAAAATAAATGACAATCAAATATATAATATATAACAAAACAGATTTAAAAAATACATTAAAAATTGGATATTTTAATTTTCGTTTTTTCTTTTTCTAAATTCCTTTAAAATATATTTCAATATAAATTATATTTTTATAAATTTACTAATTCATTGGTTGTCCTCGATCAATCTCCAAAAATTGATGCATTTTATTATAATAATTTGAAAAATCAAAAGGAATAGTAAATTCATTAAGAATTGATGTTACATTATTAATTATTTCGTTTCGAGTATTTAGTCGGGGATTGATCGACCTATATTTGTTTTTTAACACTCCAAAAAAATTTTCTATCGGGTTTAGTTGCGGCGAATAGGGTGGCAAATATTCTATTCGCGCTCTAAAACAATCAATGCAGTTAGTATATTTTCTTCTTGGAATAGCCGATGTTGGATCAGTAATAGAATCACCACTTACAGAGGAAGAATTGATCATATGGAAATTATTTGTAATATTAGGTATTGAATTTGAATTAGATAAAACAGGATCAGGATTTAATGTAAATGAATTTGTATTACTAGATAAAATTTGTCGTATATTAAACATTTGAAAAAAATATTAAACTCTATTTTATAAAAAAAATTAAATTATATAGTAAATGCAAAAAAATTACCGTATGTATTTTTTAAATCTGTTTTGTTATATATTATATATTTGATTGTCATTTATTTTTTGAGGGTTGTGCAAAAATAAAAAAACATATTGTTATTTTATTTTAATTGTTTGTTTTTTTTAAAATAATTTACCCTATAATATTAAATGTAATTCCCAACCTCTTCTATATCATTATTTATTATAGAAAATTATGAATCAGGGTTAAATATATCGTACCACTTGCCATTTTATTCCGCAAATAAATTTGAATAATAAATAAAATAGGATTTTTTGTTATTTTTAAGTTGGATAATTCCCGATGATGAATTTTTTTAAAAAATAAAAGATTTAATTAAGAGGAAATGTGTTTGAATGGGTTAAAATACAAACAAATTTTATATAATTTGTTTTTATAGGTTAATATAAAATGGTTATTCATTCTTGGTAAATATTGGCAAGACCTTAAACGTGCTCTAATTTTTACCCTTTTCCATAAGATTCGTTTTTTGGAATTTAAATTATAAATTTAATTCGAATGACCTCCATGCTTTTCTCAAGTTTTTAGACAATGTTTCTTATATGTACAAATTTTTTTAAAAATTAATTTTAAATAAAATTTTGAGGTGTAATTTAAATTTTACTTATCATGTAAAAAATATTATTATTTATCAATATAATATATAATATATGATTTGGTTTTCTAGTAACTGTTTTCAGAAATTGAGTTTTTACTTTTAGAATATTCGAAAAAAACTTCAAATTTTTTTACCAGAACCGAATCAAATATTTTAATTCATTTTTAAACGAATATATTCTTCGGTTTTTAAAATATTAGAAACCAATAAAATAATTAAATTCAAATTGAAATTTTCAGAATTCGTATTAAAAAGTGCGTGAATGAAAATTTGAGAATAATAATTTAAAATTAAAACGTATAAATAGAATATAATTAGGATTCATTGAATACATTAATTTGATTTTCGCCTAACCTAAGACCAAAGTAACTAAGGCTCCGCCAAAATTGTAGCCTTCTAAAACTTATATTTTTGGGGATATTTGGGGTTAAAATAGGTAAAATAGCTTATTTTTATAATTATTCTTCTTAAGTCAAATATCCAAGGATTTTATATTATTTATTAAATCTAGTGCTGTAAACGTTACTCCAAGAGAGGAACGCGTTACTCGTTGCATCCGAAAAAGGGAATATTAGATAATCGCTACCTTGTGAAAAAAGGAAACGAGTGTTACTGGTTATTAAAAAAGCAACGCATTGCTCGTTACTTAAAAAATTAAATATAATCTGTAAAATTTTTCCTATATATGTTGAAATAAAAATAGTGCAAAAAAACAGTTGCCAAAAAATACCTTTTAAATGGATCTAGATATAGATACATCGGCTAAAATGGATCCATCTACTGATACATCTTCTAAAAGAAGAATCGAAATACAGATATAATTTTCAAAATGTATCGGTAGATAGATACAATTTTTATCATACTTATATACAGGGTTCGCCGTTGTTCTCGAACAGAAACTCTTATTATGAAAGAAATACGTAAACAACATTTTTGAAAATAAAATAATGTCAATCGTTCTTAAATACATATTTAACGAGCATTTATTTTTTTTAAAAATTTTTTTACATTTAACTTATAATTTATTCATTAAAGGTTAGCGGATTATCTATAAAATTCTAAATAAATTTATTTGCTTAAAATAATTTTGTGCAACAATGGTATTGTTTTTTAATTAATGGGCGTCATATGATAAAAATATCCTTCACATCTTGAACTCATATCTATAGATTTAAATGGGGAAAAAATAATATTTAATGAATATTTATCTTTTTTTTGTATAAGTTTTAATATTTCATATCTATATTTTTATTATATAAGTCTTAATATTTTTATATATTTATTTAAAATTTGGACTCAAATATTTTTATTTTTAAGATAAAAAGTATATCAGAATATATCTGAAACAGATACCGATACTTTTTTTAAAGTATATTTAAAAAGATATGACATTAACAACTTTGAAAAATAATATATTATAAGAAAATATCTTTTTAAAATAACTTATTTTCCGCTTACCCATAAATTATATAAAAATAAAATATTACACTGTGTGACAAGAAAAATGGGATATGAAAATAAAAACAAGTTTTGGTGCAGAATTTGACGCTGAGTTCGAATCCGTTTTCCAAATTTTCCCTACACGTCAAGTTTTAAAAATATTACTGTATAAAGACAACTTTTTCGAAATCTCAAAAATGGTAAAATTTAGGTCTTTATATGGATATATTTAAAAAAAGTATCGAATAAAAATCCCTGAAAATTGGTGATAGTGTTAAACTTATTATTCTTTATAAATTTACTAATTTTTATAATTTTTTATCGATTAGTTTTTGAGAAAAATGGTAAAGAATTTTGTTTTGGGGGTATTAAGTTTTCAATTTAAATTACTATCAAAATTATTAACTTTAGAAGATAAATTTTATATAATTTTGCTTCAAATATATATGCTCAAGATTATATATTAATTCTAATTATGTTTCAAAAGTATTCTATGCCATAAAAATTCAACCAAAATCTATAAATTAAAAAAGTCGGTACAGATACAAACTTTTTATTTTGTACACTTTTATTGAATTTTCTCTGCATAAAGCATTTTTAAAGCAAAATTAAGGTAATATTTATCTTTTTTAGTTGTATTTAGTAATATTTTATGCATTTATGATAAATTTATATCAAAATCAGATATCTGTACCCACTTTTTTAATTTGTAATCTTTTTGAATTGAGCATTTTTGAAGCAAAATTCATTAATTGGTAATTTTTTCATATTTTTTATTAATATTTATCTTTTTTAGATGTATTTAAGAATATTTGTTTTTTTAATCAATTTATATCAAAATATATGATTTTCCAATGGAGTTCCTTGAACCCGTAGTATGGGCAATAAATAATAATGCCAAATAACGAGTAGGAACTAGGAAGAAAGGAGAAGAATTATTTTTTTCGCGCTTAATTTTTCATAAACATTAAATTTCTTTCATTAATTTTTTTTTAAATTGGATTTTAAATATTATTCAAATTCCATCCTTATATAATATTCTACAAAAAATTAATGCCGAGGTCCCCTTGTTTAAAATGTGTCTCTAAATTTTGTTACATCTGTGCGGGCTATATATTGCCCACACAAAAATGTCCAATTTCTCCAATCATTCAAAGGATTTATGAAATTTATTACAATATTCCACTCTGCGATTTGGATAAACCATTTGCCCCTAATTACATATGTAAAACATGTTATAATTCTTTTAATTCATGGGTAAATGGAAAACAGTCATATTTGCCTTATTCGAAACCTGCATTTTGGCACGTAGCAAGAAATCATTCGTGGGATTGTTATTTTTGCTCGATTAGTACATTTGGGTTTAACAAAAATAATAAGAAGAAAATTCGTTATCCTGAAATTTTGTCGGTTGTTTATCCGGTAAAATATAATATGCATACAACAGTTCCTTTTTTGATAGTTCGCAGCTGGAAAAATTACGTTGCCAGGACAATGACAATATTGATCTTGAGTATCATCCCGAAGAAGATTCGTCATTTATGTCACAAGAGCAACTAAATGACATAACCAGAATTCAAAAAGAAAGTCCGAATTTTTAGCCTCAAGGCTTAATGATTTTAAAAAATGGAGTTCGAACTTCATACCGATTCCGTGGAGTATCGTTTAGAAATTTATTCTCTTACGAAAATTTTTTATACTATTCCAACAATCTAGGTCAACTTTTTTTACAACTTAATATTGAATTGGTGCCCGATGATTTGCGCTTGTTCATCCATCTATTCAAGCAAAAACAGCTTGAAAGCAGTTTTACTTCAAAACGGAAATTCTAAGCCATCAATTCCCATCGCCTATTCCAACCAGTTAAATGAATCATATGAAATATTTATTGTCAAAATAAATTATTCCATTTACGAATTTAAGATATGCTGCGATCTCAAAATGATCGCAATCCTGACAGGCCTTCAGTTAGGCTACACCAAGCATTCGTGTTTTCTTTGTCTCTGGAATTCCAGAGAAACTCTAAAACATTATACAGTATCTGAATGGGAGAATTGTCCCAACGTTCTTGAAAAAAATCGCGTAAATATCCCGCTTGTTTCTAAAAATAAGATTTTGTTGCCTCCGTTGCACATAAAATAGGACTAATCAAAATTTTATCAAAAAATTGTCCGAGAGCCCCACGATATACCTTAGAAATTTTTTCCCCAAGCTTTCCCAAGCAAAAATAAAAGAGGGGATTTTAGTGGGCCCCCAAATAAGAAAACTCATGAAGGACAGTTTTTTTGAAGATGAATTGTTACTCATTGAATTAAAAGCATGGGAATCTTTTAAATGGATATGCAGATCGTTCCTTGGCAATCATAAATCAGCCGACTATCGTAAGAAAATTGATGACCTATTAACAAATTATAAGGAAATGGGTGCCGAATGTCCCTCAAAATCCATTTTCTTCATTCCCATAAAGATTTTTTTTCTGAAAACTTAGGTGCTGTGTCAGAAGAAATGGGGGAGCGGTTCCATCAATAGATAGAAAATCTCGGAAAGTTTTATCACGGCAAGAATCGTATATATATGTTGGCGGACTACTGCTGGAGTATCTTTTTTGAAGATAAATCATCAACTTCATATTCGCGGAAATATATTTAGATTTACCATTAAATGTTTTTAAATTCGATAAATTTTATGTTATTGTTTAATTTGTTTTAAATTCAATAAATTTATTGTATATTACAAGTTAAATCCTATATAATAATGAAGGAGGGGGTGGGACAACGGACCGATAAAAGGTTAATTAAAAGTAAAATATAAGATAGGTTAGCTTAGCATAATATATTTATTAAAATATGAGAAATATTACTATTTCATTTAAAATAAATTGTTTGAAAATCGTACCGTGTGCAGTGTAGCGAAGAGAACGATAGCCACAATAAATAAATATATTAAATGTAAGCTATATTAAAAAATATTTTATAAATAAAGATAAATTTAAAAAATATAGGTTGTTTAAAAATTGAGTAAGGATTTTATAAAAAAAAATGTATAATAATAATAAGGAAGGTTTGCTGCAAAAATTAAGATATTTTTTTAGTTGTAGGAATCATTAGAACCGAAGTATAAACCTTCAAAAAGTGCTAAAAATGACCTTTTTGGCTACTTTAACCTAAAATAAATAAAAAAAACCTGATGTGCTAGAAAAAAACTGACAGCGGGTTTAGAATATGCATAAAAAACTGTCTTAAAATATGTTTATTTTATTTTCTCCCAAAAAATCAAGTCGAAATTTGTCACACAGTGTTATTTTTGTAAAAAAATTTTATTTATTTTTACCAATAAATGATTTTTAAAATTTTGATCGGATAAACAAGAGCGCTTAGTACTCAACAAAGCTTTCGCCGTGCTAAACACACGTTCAACTGGCGCAAAGTATGGGAGGGTTTATTAAGAAAATATAAATAATAACATACAAACTACAGAAATATCGGCATATTTTTAGATCTTCAAAGTCAATTTTGTAATTCTATAGTTATCATTTTATTTAAATTTGCCAGACATATAAATAATCTCGAATTCAACGTCAGCCCAGCTGATTTGAAATCACTTTATCATGCGACACTTAAAAATTATAAATAAGAAAATTTCAGTGTGGTGTTTTTGTTATGTTTATTATTAACAAAAAAAAAATTCTTATCTCTTAAAATTCTTGAAAAAATATATTTACCTATTGATATAAAAGGCTATCGTTTTTTCACAAAGATTAATAATTTTTAATAATTATCCATAAATATAATAATATTTTTTTCTCTATGTATAGCTCAATTTTCTATATTATTATATATAATAGAATATATTTTTATTAATTATAATGTTAGAATTAGGATTTACATCAAATAATAAACCTACCCTCTTATATCAAATTATGAATATACGAAATTTAAAACAAATAAAAATAAATCAATATGCTGGAGGTGCGCCAAAAATAAATCTCAAAAATGCAATTCTTTTATAACAATAAAATTTAATGATATTTTAAGAAGTCCTCTTGATCATACTCATGAAGATGACTTTTGCAAATCTAATAGAAAACTATATCAGAGATGAAATCAAAATTACGTGGGTATTCTAGTCCTTCGCTGGTCCACGCAAATAAATTATTAAATTATGACATTGATGGTTATGCCAAATATGCCACCCCTTTATATAACGGCATAAAAAATCAAGCTCAACCATTATATTGCTTCCAATCCCGACGGATCTTACTTTCATATATCCGGAATGTTACAGGAATATGCTCAACTTTGATTCCTGACCTGGGAATGATAATTATGATGTTGAGCTCGAACGAACTAATCGAAGGATCAAGATCAAATATATGGATATGTGATGGTACCTACTCGCAGATATCCTTGGATATTATTTCATCTAAAACAGAGCGTTATTAGAAAAATAAATGATTTGGGATTAAAAGAAATGTATGAGTCTACTGATATTTCGATTGTATAGCAGGTGTTTATCAGCCTTTGCATATGTCCCAGAGGATGATGTTGGAAATTCATTAGATACTTTGGCAGAAATATTTGAAGAATTGAATGGCTCATCTGAGCTTATTTCGATGACGTAGAAATCCCAGTAAAATAATATATTTTTTGTTCTAAATTTATATATTTATAAGGCAACAAAATAATTTTGCAGCTCCTCTCTATAATGTGAGATTATGGAACAAACACAATTCGATGCTAGAAGGTGTCGCACGAACAATAAATTGTGTTGAATGGTGGCATTATGGAATTCAATCATTATACCAATGTTCTAACCCAACGTTTTGGAAATATTTAGATGGGATTCAAAAAGATATGCAAAAAACATAAGGCCCTATATCTTCAAGTCATAATGGGGACAACACTGCACCTTTCGAAGAATGATGAAGATATAAAAAACGATTTCAGATATGTGTTTCGAATTATGGACTATCGGATTCTTTAACATTTTTAAAATCTTTTGCCAATATTTCATGCAATTAAATATTTTATAAATAATTTATATTTTTTACTCGTGATATATTGATTTATAGTTACTTACTAATAAAAAGTATAAATTGAAATTACTGTTATTGCTTATGTCTCCTGTTTCCTTATATAAGATGATAATTAAGTTAAAAAAATTATACTTATGAAAATTAAAATACTAGTTTTTTTTCAATAAAAAAATATAAAAAAATTAATTTAAATTTTTTCAATATCGAAATTTAAACGGAAAAGTCAAAAAATCAGATATTATCAAAATTTAACTTTTAAATTTAAGTCTTAAGTACATCATGATAAAGTGTCGCGTGTTCAACTGTCGCATGATAAAGTATCGCGTGATAAAATGTTGCCTTATTTAAATCTAATAGAAAATGTCGGGGTTATAAGAAAAGTATGAAACTTTGTTCCGAACTCGCCTAAAAGAATTAAAGACGTCATTATTGTCAAAGGTGTAACCAAATATTATCTAAATGACGACTATTGTGATTTCTTGAACATTAATAGCGTTCATTTTGATTTAAATACTGCTTTTTTAACGTATCATTGAATCTTGAAGTATCTTTAATGTGATGAATTTTGCTTTCAAAAATTATTTGAGGAAAAAATTGTAGTCCAGGGTTCTAATATGATATAGGATAACCTATTCATTATTTTGATCAAATCAATTTGGCAAAAGTAAAAATAACAATAGGTTTTTAGAATATTCATTTTTAGTCTATTTCCACCCCTAGTGTTCCCTTATTTTATACCTTGTTCGATACTTTTTTCCGCTGCTATTTTAATGTTATGTTGATGGGATTCAGTTTGGGTGGATGACATTGTGATAACATCTTGAAAAGTCGGGAAGGTTTCGAAAGTTAAACCCAGTTTACGACGAAAAAAATTGAGGACACCTCCAACATCTCTTTCAAAATACCTGGTTCAAATAATTTAGCATGTTTATTATAAGATTATATATTTAAAAAGTTTATTGGGATGACCGAAACACTATTTGAGGGAAATCACATATCTCAGATCTCCTCTTTCCTATTAAATAAATAAAATTAAAAACATACTCTTTGGCGTTCGGGTGGTCGAGAGACACTATTTGAGGAAAATCGATCATGACAATGTCCGATAAGTCTGAAGGGTTGAAAAGGAGGTTGAATTCGTTGAAATCGCAATGAATAAGACCGCAGGCAGCCAATTTCATCAATAGATTCATCAGCCTTTCGAACAGAGATTGCCATTGAAGCAAGTTATTATTAGTATTAATAATTTGGTAAGACTCCTTAGCTTTTAATATAACAAAAATGTTTTATATAAATATAATTAAAATATTAGGATGATTATTTATTTCCTAAGCTAAATATAAAATACAGCCCCACCCGCCTCAAGTTGGGTAAGTTTCTTTTGGTTTTTATTAATAATAAGCCACATAAATTAGGGGCTCATAGATTAAATCTGTTGAGCTCAGTGATGAAACGTCAAGTTTACTACCAGGGAAGCAATCAAAAAAAAATTTTATTTTTATTTTAGTTAAACTCAAACCATAAAAACATTAAGATTTATAAATTAGTGGTATTCGTCTTTGTTTTTGAGTAAAATTATCAAGTACTGCATTATAAAAGTTATCGCTAGATTTTAAATTTTTTAATAATTTTTTTGCAATCGAAATTAAAGATAGATTCGATAATCGATTTTGGCTCATCCTATCTTCTGCAATTGATTCATTCTTTTTAAAGATGAAAAACTCTGTCCTGCACTTGCTATTGTTGAAGCCAAAGTTAAGATGAATTTGCATCATTTAAAAAAACTCTTTAAAACTTTTCATCAAATCGGTGCATATTAAAAATTTAAGTATTTCATTAACATTCTTTTTCTATCTAAATTCATCGTCCCGAAACACTACCTTTAATTCAATTTCCAGCTTGTGTAACGGAAAATTGAGAATAGGTGTCGTTTAAATTATCTAATAAATATTTTGGGAAATCATCATTATCCCAAACAATATCAGATTCTCCAACAATCATACTTTCAAAAAAAACGACTAGATCCTTCAAAAGATTTAAAACTGTTTGAACCAGCCGACAATTGATTGTTTTCCCATCTCGTTGGGGCTACTCGAGGTAATCTTTTTTTGAGATATTTATAAAATTCAGCTGTTCGCTTAGATGATGTACTAAAAAACTGACTAAACCAGATAAAGTTGCAAAAAAACCTTATATTCTTTAATTTTGCTGCAAGAATTTGATAATATAAGATTTAACTTATGGGCAAAGCAATGAATATAAAGTGATGAAAGATTGACCGCCTGACATAATAGCAGTGCCATTGTAACTTTGACCTATTAATTTTATAATTTTTTTATCGTTCAAGAATTTAATGACAAATTTTGATAAAGAATTAGCATCTCGATGCATAGTAACATCAAAAAATTCAATAAATCATTCATACAATGTCCCGTTATTAAAAACATATCGAAGAACTATAGCCAGTTGATATTTATTATTGATATCTGTTGTCATCTAATATTATTGATATAAATTCCGTTTTTTGTAATTCATTAAAAAAAATTTTGTGTAAGACATATGAAATGGAATTTATTAATTTTGAATATCGCTTGATAGTCCAATAAAAATTGTACTATTTTCTAAATGATGTTTCAATAGTAAAAAATTTTCCGCCAGCAAATAAATTAATTCAATATAATTTCCTCTATTTACTGAATTAGAAGATTAGTCATCACCACGGAATGCAAGCTCCTGAATTCCAAAAAAACATATAAAGTTGATCAATATTTCTCTGATTTGACTTTCGAGTTATGATGTTCAATTAATATTTTGAGCATCGAATCTATCATATTTTCAATACGATTTTGGCCAAATGTTATTAATTGAATCATCGACTGCAAATGAGCTGTTGATTCTTCATGCCGTTTAACTGCCTTTGAAATACTCATATCCGAAAATCCTTTATCATTCCAAACATATTTTTCCTATAGGAATAATAGGCATGACCAACAATATAGAGAATTAGAAAATTCACATCCAGTGAGCCATTAATATTTATCGATAGAAAAATTACGGATGCAAGTTTGGATTTCTTTTTTAAGTTATGTAAAATTGGTTTTGGTCTTCCTTTTTCAATAATCAATTTTTTCCATCAAAATTTCTTGAGCTAAATGCTAATGTTAATAAATTTTCAATAATACAATTACAATTATTAAACATTAATTAAGGATTTTAAAAACGAAAAAATTTTATATTTAAAAAAAGTAAGGGAAAAAATATTATATAAAAAAAAAATTCTCTTTTATTTATTAAAAAAAATAAGCATTTTTTTATTTGCTTCCCCAATGCTTATTTTTTAATGGTAAAATTATACAATACCATAGCTAGATTTTCTCTTTATTTATTAAAAAAAATAAGCAATATTTAATTTGCTTCCCTCATGTATATTTTTTTAACGTAGTAAAAATAAGAGTAAATTTTTTAATGTAGTAAAAATAATAATAAATTTTTTAACGTAGTAAAAATTAGAGGTAAGAGCGGGCCGTGAAATTACGCGTGGGGTCACGGCGTGAGTGTCAATAAATTTTAAATTCCAAGGCGTGACGGACCTTCCCAAAATTTTCACCGGGCGTGAACATAAATTTCCCGTGAATCACAAAAATTTTAATTTTTAAAATTGTTTTTTTATAAATATAAATTTGCAATTTTATAATTATAAATTTGCAATTTTTTAATTATATTATATATTTTATTACTTAATTTAGTTCTTTTTTAAAAAAGAATAATTTATGAAAACTAAACATCTTCCGCATTTTATAAACAAGATCCGGTATCATGCCGTTAGTTTTATTTTCTTTTTATGTTTAGTATCGAGACTTTTTGCTAAATTTTGGTTAAACTTTTTACAGAAAAGTCAATTATATTATATTTGTAAGATCTTCGATCTGTAAATGCAACAGAAAGTGAAGGGTTTTTACAAGCTAGGCCCCAAGAGTTAATAAATGTTGGTGTTACATATGGACAACAAAATAAAGATATACTTGTGAGCCGGAAAACTCTCATGAATACTAGTTTTAAAAATATACGATGAAATTAAAATTAAGATTAAAAGCATGATCAATAATAATTACTTATCCATAATCACTGATATTTGACAGATGACTATAAAAATCTAAGTTTTTTAACCCTTACAGGACATATTATCATTAAGGATTTTAAATTAAAAACATTTGTTTTGGCCACAAGGGCAATGGATGAAAAAAACGTCAAAATTAAAAGTGTAGTCAATTCAATTTTAGGAGAATACAGAAGTAGACAATGTATAGTTGTGAGTGATAACGGAGCAAATCTTATAAGTGCATTCAAAGATGACGAAACGCTAGCATGTATATGCCATATACTAAATAATATTATGCATTATATTTTTGACAATTGTTTAACTGAAATAGCTTTAAATATAAATGGTGTATTAAAAAAATAGTAAAATATTTCAAACAATCTACAGCTAATAGCAAACTAAGCTTCACCCTTAAACAAGATGTAATAGCAAGAATAAAGAGATGGAACTCTGTATGTATCATGATACAGAGTTTCTTAAAATCATATTCTGAAATACAGGTGTACTTGTTTATCAAGCAAGAATTAAATAGATTAGCCACAATGATATCAGCATCATATGCGAGTTAGATAAATTTTTATCAACATTTAAAGAATGCTCGGATAATCTGAGAGCATATTCTCGTCCCACAATAAATGAAGTTTGTCTATGGAAACATAAATTAATAAAATTTTGTTAACCTTCTGAACGTGATACAATAATAATAACCTTAAAATACAGAACAAAATTTCTTTTAAAAGATTATTATGCAGCCACTACATAAGTTAGGGCTTAATTCTAGATCCGAATTTCAAAAGACTAGTTTTTCATAAAAGAAGAAAATGACATATATAAAACAATCTTAAAAATGCTAAATGATATAAAATTAGATGATATGCATAAGTCGATACCAACTATCATATATAACTTTTCTAACTTTTACTAAACTCATAAAAAACGGTATATCCTAAATGATCAATACCAACTATCACTTTCCTAATTCATCCTACACTCATAAAAGACCGTATATTCTAAATAAAAAATTTAGAGAATTTCTAGTTCTGATGATGCATTATAATCACCGATGAAAGCTGTGAGGATGAACTTGGAAGATTTATATAAGATAAATAACAAGACAATATTTTAAAGTTTTGGAAGCAGGAATTTTCCTTTTTTTGAGAAAATTATCGAGTAAAATTTTGTCAGCTGCAAGTTCGGCTTCTAGTGAAAGGTTATTTTCTGTAGCCAAATTAGAGGAAAGGCGTATACAATTGAAATAAAAAAGGGCATTCTTCTTTTTCTAAATAAATTTCGATTTATAGATTGGATTTATTTTTTGTTATTAATATGTATTATGAAATTAAGGAAATAAATAGAATGAATTCAAAAAAGTGTAAAATTATAGCAATAGTTTTGAAAAATTTAAAAACACCGTGGATTTTCGGGCGTGAATCAAAATATTGCTTGTCGTGAGCTAACGGGTCGAATCGAAATTTTTTTAATGGTAAGCGTGAATGGGCGTGAATTTATTTATAGCCACCGTGAGCGGGCGGGTCGTGAATAAAAAATTAGGCCCGGGCCCACCTCTAGTAAAAATTATAGTATTTCTTAATATAGTAAAAATAATATTAATTTTTTAACGTTATAAAAATTATATTAATTTTTCTAACGAAGTCAGTTTAGTTTATTTAGCATAGTATAAAGATTATATTAAGTTAATTTAAGAATTTTGTAAGAAAAATTTCAAGGGAAGCAATGTTTCCCTTGTTCTATGGACGCTTCGTCACTGGTTGAGCTTATGATTTCATTCAAGATTAATGAGAAAAATTAGAATTAGAATATAAATGAAATTTGATGGATAGATCATTCCAAATGAATTGACAGATATTTTGATCACCATTTTTGAAAAAAATGTATACTTTATTAATTATTTAGGTTTAAATTTTACAAAAAACAAACTTTCAGAGTTCTAGTTAATCTAGACAGGGAGTTATGGACCTTCAAAATCCAGGTCAGATCTTGTTTTCAAATCTCAAAATCAAAAAAAATTGGTGAAAAAATTATAAATAATATATTATTTTGTAGCCCTTAAAATTCTCCTTCGATTGTTATATTTTTTAAAATACAAACATCTTCAGTGTTGAAGTGTTTCCACTAAAACAATTTATTTTTATTTTAAGAAAGCT